TTACTTGGTATTCCGTCAAATCGATTTACAGTTGGAACAGTAACTGTTCCAACTGTAAATCGATTATTCGATATGGAACAAAGAATGATATTTTAATTATCTTATTTTAAATACATTGTGATTTGACGGAATACCAAATAATTTAATTTTAATATATATTTTTTTTAAATTTCACGTACCCCCTAAGATGTCTTCGCGTACCCCCAGATATAATTTCTCTTCAACTCTGTACCCCCAAAGTTGTTGGTGTATAATTCAAGTTATACACAGTATATAATCTACATCTAAAATAAATTAAATAAATTACATTACTGATTAATTAAAATTGTTCTTAGAGAAATAGGATGGGGTGTCATGAACTGGATTCATCTTGCTTAAGATAGGGACCAGTGGCGGGCTGTTGTGAACTTGGTGATGAACTTTCGGGTTCCATAAAATGAAAGGGAATTTCTTGAGTGGGTGAGCGACTGTTGGCTTCTCAGGAAGTCCCCCGCTCCATGATGTGAGTAAATAAGCACGTAAGGCGTAAAGATCCGAGTATAATGAGGGCGTCTTGCCAGAGAATCTGGCCGAAGTTACGAGCACATCAAGTTGAAGTAACTTACCGAGAATTATAGGTACATAAATGTGTAAGCTACACATAACTGATGTCAAACTAGTGATTTTGATCTTGAAAAGTTTTATATATTGATTTTTTTTAGAAGAGAGCGATAAATTGTAATCAGTATTATTTATTTTATTTTTAAACTAAACAAGTAAAATATCATAGAAAAATTATAGCTGAATAGTAAGATTAATTTCTGCGTCTTTAACAAGAAACCGTTCTTCTAGAAGGGCCATGTGAAACTATTATTTATTTCAGGAACACAGCACCGGAAAGCAAGTGTCACAAGGACGGGACAACATTTTCAGCACCGCGTATAAAAAAGGGCGAGTTTATTTCCGTTGATTTTGTAGACCGATATTTGACTCAGATCGGGTAAAGTTTGTATCACTTGGCGGTCAGTCAAAGTTCCAGACGTAATCCTGTCTTTTATGTTTCATACAGAACGGATTTATATCTGCACTACACTCTTGGCTAATAGTTGTTAAAATCACGTCCAGCACAAAGAGAGGATAATTTAATTACGACCCCCGTCTGAATAATATGAAAAAAGAAATTCGATCATATTAAGACATATTAAAATTTTAGAAAGAAATAAAAGTATCTTTTAACAGTGGCTGTTACTGTTCTATATTGTGACATTTATTCAGGAATAAGTAAAAATACTGTATCTTCAACTTCAAACATTTGCTAGAAGCATCTTTATAGTGAACATGCATCTACAACAGACTTAAATCTACAAATTAATTGGCAATAATCCCAGAGCTCATTGGAGCTTACCCCAGATGACACTTCTCAGCAACAAATCCACTTCAAATTAAACGCTGAAGGACTTACTCACATGGGAGCTCTACGGTCACAGAACGGACTGTTTAATTAAATAAGCAAAGTTGTTGTCTAATCATCTGAGGGCAACAGACTTTGCCGTTATCACCGACGGGAATACGCGATTAACCATCGAAGACAGTGACTTTTCAAGGTCTCATGACGGCGATATGCAGACGAAAGCCTTCTGGGTAACTTCGTAGTTAAGTCTAATAAAAACTGACTGACGCTTCACAGACGCGTACTGCCTCCATCATCAGGACGATGGAGGTAGAACACTTCTGAAACGTCGGTCATTTTCTACGAGACTAAACGACGCAGTATCTCAGAAGGATTTAATCTTAATCAAAGACAGGTCTGCGACATGCAAGCGAATTGTGTGAGCTGGAACGTTCATTTTTTCCCTTCGTCTATTTAACGACGCTGAATAATTTATGTGACGAAACCATGATTACGCTGGTTAATTAACTTGGGAAATGTGTGAAATGAAACGGTCGCGGTCTATTTCAAAATTACTATTATGGCTATTACGTAACATCGAGTCCGATCGGATAAAAATGAAACTTCGCATTCTGGATACCCACATTCATATCTCGGCCCAGACATCGGCTATCTTCACTAAGGCGTTCAGCGTTTTCCTTAGCAAATCCACGTAAACACTCGGACATCGCCTTTGATTAGGCTTCAAATGTTTCGGTCCACACCCCTTCCAATTCATGATTCAATAACCACATCATCATTCGACGCACCATCGTCTAAGCTACTGATAGCATCGTTAAATAAACAATCAACCTACTCCTAATATAACAGCCAATGTCCGTTCGTACGATGCAGAAAAATGTACATTAAGTTCTGACAGTAGTGACTCGGGTAGCAAGAAATATTAATGAAAGTATAGTGGTGCCTACGGTGGGGTCTGGTGGAGTATGCGTTTGGCGGGAGTCTGGAGTCAGTCGCCATGAGGATCTTTTCGCTTTCAATTCGGTTTGTGAGAAAACTTTATAAAATTTTTGTACTTCTACTGCGATCTTCAAAAATATTTCTGCAGCAAACTGAATTAATGTTTCGTCTTTCAAATCACACGAGACATTATTGATGGATCAGAAAGGGAATCTGCAAGACTACAGAAAATATGTCGAAACACGAACTTTGGAAATGACAGGTCATTAACGATGAGAAGGGAGGGATAATTAACCAGGAGAATAATTGACTGCTTTCATTTCCTCAGTACTGATTTTAAATTAACACAAATTCAATACGGGTTCAAAGCACCAAAATATGTCCCTGGGGCAAATACAAAAATTATCTTATTTTACGTAATGTCTGGTGTATAATAAGACAAAAATATGCATAGTTTGAAGATGGCTGTCTTCTGGGTTGCAGCGCCGTGTAGTCTGGTAGAGGTACTTGCTGCCCCAAATCACCTCCTAAACGTCGGTAAACATCTACCAGACTACACGGCGCTGCAACCCAGAAGACATGTCGGTATGAGAACCTGAAATCTCACTATATATAGAATTATACGCGAGATCGTTTATGGAAAATGGCTATATAAATGTGACAGGCCTATTATAATTTAATAGACGCCCTATATGCGTGTCAGTGTGTAACAGGACTGTGTTATGTGTGACTGGCAAAGCTCTCTCTCTCTCTCTCTCTCTCAGTAATGATGCTAGCTGCCAGAATATTCTATCGTACAAGTGATTCTAAATTAAACTGTTCTTTTAATTACTTCTGAAGGAAATAAAAGCAAGATATGGTTAACGTAAAAGAAAAGTCAAGGACTGAAATGCGAACTGTAGGATCCCGTTTAATTTCAACGGGTTCTTTACACTAATTTCTGATTAAGATAGTCAAAATTAAGGATAATTAATGGGCTGGGAGTCTAGCACGAACGTGAGAGACGATAAATGGATATAACGTTTTGGTCGGATAACCTGTGGGCCGAGACAAATTGCGAAACGCAGTCGAAGATGAAAGTATATTATTAAAATGAATGTAAAATACAAAGGGTTTAGTGGTGTGGAATGGATTCGTCTGACGCAGTCTCCTGATTCTGCCAGAGACGGGGAAAACTACGCGAATATTAGTGAGGAAAAGAAAACGTGAAAATTCTCTATCAACAGCTGATAAAACAGATATGACCTTGGCATTTTTCCTGGCGCTGCATAATTTGTTCTCATTCTTCCCATCGTTTCACTGGTCTGAAATTAACGAGCAGCTGACAAAATATTTATCTGCAGACGAGTGACGTGTTACAGTCAGGCAAGTATGAAAATTATCTTAGAATTCATGACGCAGAAAATTATGTAGATTCATAGATCATTTTAAGATGACTGTCTTTTCAGCTGTAGAGACGTGCAGCCTGGTAGAAGCTTACCGACGTTTCAGAGGTGCTTGCTGCCTCCAAAATCGCGGTGATTGGGGGCAGAAAAGACCTCTGAAACGTCGGTAAACTTATACCACACTACACTACAACCCAGAAGACAGATTTTTTAGGCGTGTACACAAATTGAAGGCTAAACTGCAGATACTTTAAATCCGCAGTTGTCAAGACATCGATTTATTCAGATATTGATTTTAAGACAAGAAGCCACAGTCAATTACTGGGCCAAATTTTAATTACTAGCTGGACTTGTAGGGACCTCACTGTCATGCACGCATTTACTAAACAGATGGCTGGTTAGGTTAGGTTAGGTTACAGCTGGCTGTACTACAGGAAGTCCATCGCGTATTAACAAAAGTCAGAGCGATGAAGGATTAAACTGAAACAGCTGTGCAAATTTAAAGTAAAAAGAATCAAACTTTTAAAACTTTTTTTCAGAGTTAAATCGCGTTTTGGCACAGCATACAGGCCCAGTCTAACATTATGATCTTCTTCTTAAGATATCTGTCTTCTGGGTTGTTCCGCCGTATGGTCTAGTAGAATGTTACTGACGTTTCAGAGGCGCTTACTGCCACCGACATCACGAAAACACATCGCCATGATAATTCCCAAATGATTCTCAATGTAAACAGCAATTATTTACCTAAACAGCGTTAACCTGTTAATCTCTGTAATGGTAAAGAGTTGTGTTTTCATTGCGGTACGGGCTGAATTATTAAATATAGTCGGCGTAGTAGTTCTTGGCCGGTGGAGAAGCTAGCGGAGCTGGCGGACGGGCCTATCTGTGTACCTGAGATGGCACGGTCAGTGCATTTCTTTTGTTTGGGCGTTCGGTCACACAAGCTCCTCAGCATTATACTATCGCAAAAGAGACTCGCTCCTAGCCTTACCCTTGAAAATTCCACCGGCCAAACACTATTGCGCCGACTATACTATGGACACGAGCTTCGGTTTTGAATGGTTAAACTTATTCAAATTTTGAACGTCTTACTTCGTATTCGTTCAAAAAACTGAGGATTAAAATTAAACCTTTGTAATTGACCCTAGTGATTATGTTGTTCACTTGATGGCAGAAGAAATGTGATCTTCAGAACGTCACGTGATTTATAAACACAGACAAATGAAAATTTCCAAAAACACGGATCAGTTTAATGACAAAAACCTTTAGACTAATCTAGTACTTACTTGGTTACTTTTAGCGAGACGTCTAGTTGTTTTCAGAACTCTGTCTGCGAACGCGTGCATCGTTATCATATACGGTCCTTATATTTTACTTTCACGCAACAAATATTTCAAGAGGATGAACGAACGTGCAGGTGTAACGCTTAACACATTTGTTACCACAACGCCCTCGTTAGTGAACTTCGCTCCGAACAGCAGCAAAATATATTTGGAAAGTCTTCGCTTACGAGTTAAACTCGAGGAAATGCGTACGAGTTCACTAAAACGTGCTACGTAGTTTTCTCCCTACTTTCCTCGTTTCATCAAGCGACAGACGACAGGACGTTCTCGTGGTTGTTAATTCCTGTCCCGGTTTGCAGATAAAATTAAGGGAAATCCAATATTTTACTACGTCCAAGGACGGGAAACAAAAGTGACAGAACGATCACGTGGTCAAAACTGCTCACTGAGGGACTTCACAGTTAGAATTTCCTTTCCTTGTTAAGAATGTTCGCATTTGTATGGTCTCTATGTAGACCCGTGCATACCAGTAATATAAATTATTGATAATGTGAGTCTGTACCTTCTATTAATTTGGATTAGCCATTTTTTATGTGTTCGTCTACTCAGGCTCCATAAAAGACGCGGTATTTCTTGATTAATTGAGCGACGTTCTCGAGAAGAGAAGGTTATCATTTAGCATGATTCATTATAAAAATGTTGATCTAGAAAATGACAATTTTACGATCAGTTTATATTTCATTCACCAAATTATAAAGCAGCCCAAATAACCCCAGCATTAGATTCCAAAAGACATTTAGTTCCAAAACTATTTTCCCCCAAAATTAATTTATTCACCACTAGTTAATATCTAAAAGTAAAAAAGTAAATAGTAAAGCTGCCCCACTATACGCCATGTAGGCGCTTAGGGGGAGAGGCGGTATAGCTCCTACTCATTCTTGACCTCGACACTAGATGGGGTGAGTGGTCAGGGTCACACCCTGGCCTTCGTATCCACTGGACAGGATGTTAGGTGAGCCCTAGAGCCAGTCTGGACGAAAAATCCTATGCCCCTGTCAGGAATCGAAACCCTGTCGTCCAGTCCGAGCTACCCCGGCTTCTATGCACCTGGTTAAAACATGAATCGCGTAATTTATTTAGTGTTCTGTCTGACGACAGGTCCATATGAACAGGATCCTTCCATCCTTTTCTCGGACTGGGACCTGTTCATATACGTTCTTGGCAGATGATCCAGAAGTGGTTTGCCATTGCCTTCTTCTGTGTGTGAATGGAGTAATTGTTGGGATGCCACGGAGGAAAACTCCGTGTTACCTAGACCACGGCCTTGCCCAACACAAGTTATAAATTCGGGCACCGCCGGGAATCGAACCCGAGACCCCCAGGATTACAAGGCCAGCGTTCTAACCGCTAGACCACCGTGTCGGTTGAATCGCGTAATAAAGTCATCTAATTCGTAATCGAATTATTGCTTCGTGATGTGACACATCCCAAAGAGAAATTGGATAACTGGAGCGCGTTTTTGGAACACCGTGTATGACCACGCCTATCAAAACAAGTTCTAACAACAGACAGGGTCAATTCAGCACCGGTCATGCGAGATTCTCTTGGCAGTAAGGTATGGACGATGGTACAGAGTTAGTGAAGTGCATGATCTCGGAGGGAGAACTCACTCTGTTTTCTTCGCAGACATTTGTATTAGGTCTTTCAGCTTTTGATCAATCCTGGGACGTGATTTCGAGTTCAGGCATCAAGAGTTTCGTCCGCCTGCACGGAGGAACACACTAGCGAAGAATCTCTTAGGATTCGTGACATTAAAGCGACTGATAAGATATCGATGTTGGTCTTCTGAGTTGTGACGCCGTGTAGACCCGTATGAAGACGCCAACCTCTCGAAGGAAGATGCTGCCTCCATCTTCACTGCTGAAGATTTAGATAGAATGTTTCTCCGAAACGTCGATATCTACCTCCAAGTCCACACGGCGTTACAAACCAGAAAACGGACAAAGACATCACCACCGCGAGAATCTCAGACCTCACATGATGATTCGTCATATGGTCTGTCAGATTTAAATATTATTATATTATGAAAATAAAAACGTTCAATATATAAATGAGTTGGATCTTTCTCATACAAAACGTAAAGGAGTCGAATCAAGGTTTGCAATTTTGAACAAAATTGTAAATTGGGTTTTCTGAAACATTCACGCTCATTTACGTAGCACTGAACAAATAACAGACGTTGTGTTTTAAATACTAGACCACGCTTTACGTAAACAATCTGGATTACAATCGGATCTACGTCACAGAACGAAACAGATAGACCGGAAGTGAAGTTTCACGTGATTCAAAACAATTAATTCGAGTGAAAAAAACAGATTGTACTTCAATCCGGCTGCTTAATTATACTGTATGAAAATTGTGACATTTCGTATGAAAGTATAACTGATTCTTATGCTATTTTAATGACGCTTCAACATTACAAAGACCAGATTGTTAAGGAAATAATCACAGTTTACTTCCAAGTTCAAAATGCAGAGTAGCTCACTGTTAAATAACGTGGTACATATGTCTCCCATTGGTCTTTTAAGAATGAATTTATATTAAGTGACATGATCAGAAAAAGAGCAGTTAATCAATAAAACGCTAGCATATAATTAATTATTTGAAACTTCCATGCAGTTTTGACAACTTACAGAGCCTTACCTAACCAATACAATGGGTTCGGTAAGTTCTATTAAAGGTTCCCGCCAAAATTACGACAATTACTTAGTCACCTTTTAATTCGTAACTCGTACAAAGCAATTATTAAGAAGATAGAACCTCACTGACCTTGATTTTATTTACTACAGACGTACTGCTGTAAAACAAATCGTACCACGCAAGTGTCAAATTGTTTGTCCTTGTATAAGGAAGTCACTGAAGTTCTGTTTCAGTCTATCACTCACAACAGAGATAATAAAAATTGGGATGGGGAAGTAAACATCACTGATTCACAGATATCTCAACTATGCTTTCACTTAATGTATTTCGTGCAATATTAATTCATCCATCAAAACACTACAATTCGTTACTCACGGAAGCAACAAAGTACATACCTGGCATTCCAAAACAACTGAAACCTTTCGCCCGTTCACACCTGGGCTGGTGTTGCGTCAATTGTTCAAAATGCTCCAAAAACACGCATACTTCACGTACAACAATCATCCACTGCTTGTTCTTTCGTCTTTACGTTACGAATTCGACAACATGGACAGTTAACTCCTCACTCCGTGACAGGTACCGTAAAAATGGTTACAAGGGCACGTCTATCGGATAGACTAATATTCCCAGAGCAATGCACATGACGAAGCTAATTCGGTCATGCGCAAAAGTATCGGATACGCGTGTTTGGCTGCTCCGTTGAACGAACAGTTTCGATAAAGCCTACAACAGCGAAGTAATGGTAGTTTTAAAAGGACACTTGAAGAAATTGTCATGTTCGTAAGAACTTGAAATCCCTTCAAAGGAAACCCATATTATTCAGTATTGCCACATCTGTATTTCCAAAAATAACATAAATTAAAGTGTACAAACAAGTAATTGGGTGTTATTTTGTATGGTTGGTACGACCGGTTATGCGACACACAGGTCCTACGGAGGGGTGGGGGTTAAAACCTCACCACTTCCGTCTAGTGCTGAGGTTAAGAATAAGCAGAATCCACACATCTTAATGGCGTAGTGGCCCTATTTAATTAAGCAAAACAATTTTACTTTTGATGTCTGTCTTCTGGGTTGTAACACCGTACTCATCTCCCTGACGATGGAGGCAACGAGGGCCTCTGAAACGTCGATAAACTTCTACCAGACCACACGGCGTAACAACACAGAACACGGCCAAATCAGTTACCTTCACACTCGCCTAAAATCTCAATTTTGTAATTTACTCAAATTATTGCAGTACAACTCAGTTTTGAGATACAAGGGCCAAGACGACGACTAGACCTAACACCTGTAACATTATTACACTACAATCAGCTACTATTACAACTATTAGCATCACAATACCAACGTCATCAAACACATGTATGTACACAGACGTCATGCGGAAGACTGCAGGCACAACGATACTTTATTTTCGCGTAATGTAGAAAAACATTCGAAGGCTTATTCCAAGGTCAACAGCCCTGGAGTATTTACTTGAATTTCACCCGGATACCCGAACAGTACCTTCAAATACATCACAACACCCTCCTCCCTAATCCTTACCTACTCATTCTTTGTGAACATCTTCATATCAAGATTTGAGGTTCTCGTGGTCTGGTAGAAGTTTTCCAACGATTCAGAGGTACCTGCCGCCTCCATAAACAGGGCGATGAACGAGTTGAAACATACGGATGGACTGACAGACACGATCAGCCCTGAAAATTGCTCTTACCACGACAGTAACACTCCACTAACCTGAGTGGCTGCGTAGACCTCCGTTAAAACACCCTTTAAAGCTGAGACTTATCTACATAACATTCAAAAATCCATTTCCTACCTCAAAGAAAACACAACGCATATCTATCGCAAAGATGAATAGGTTAATGTAGTTTACAGAAATAATCGGTCTTATCCTGAAAATCAAGATAAAATACAAAATTTCTGTTTCATAAAACACGTGTTATATAGTTACTATTTCGCTTTAAATGTTCATCTGCGTCTATTTTAAACCTTTTTGAAGCCGAAATTCGTCCAAACGATAATCATTAATCCAGACCGTACCTCAAAGAAAACATTTCACCACTACAAAGATCGATTGGTTAACGTTATTTGCTATAATAATCGATGTTTACAGAGATCAAATTAAATACGAAATGCCGTATTACATTTCTTAAAGCTGATAGCTCTAAAAGCACCTTAGCACTAGTCTTTAAATGGCTGAATGAATGTTACAGATAAATTAAAAGCTGAATAATTAGCGTAAATCTGAGTACGAACGAACTTACCAATCCCTTATAGCAGAGAATGATGCACTGAATAAGCCTATGACGCGAATGGAAGTGCCAATCGAGGGGGGGGGGAGTATAGAGGGATGATCAGATTACAGGTAAACCGGTTCCTTTATCCACGGCGGCCGACGATAAGGCAGGGCTGTCTGAGACCTTGACATTGTCTCTTCACGTGTTCGTGACACCCACTTGCATGAAACAATGGAAACATCATTAGGCAAGTCACATATTGCCAATACCTGGCCTCCTGCTATGGAATTGCGTCACGGTTCTGATAGGTTTTCGCGGTCATTGTCGCGAATGGGTAGGGGGTTCTGGGAAGTCAAGTTCATTCCCTGGTGTAGGGGTGCACAATCAGTGGCGTCGAGAGATACGACGAATTTTTCGTTCGAATAGAATTTATTTATGCGCTATAAATTCTCCATAGCACGAAGCCAACGATGCTGAACACGTCATAAAATATTTAAGGCAAGCTGGCATGTAGTTTTGTAAAGATTTTTAAAAAAAATTGCAGTTCTAATTTGACTGTTTTCTGTTTACATTAAAAGTGCATTCAGAAAGTTAAGTTCTGCTTGCGTACTATCACGTTAAGTTTTCTTACCTTAACCTGTAACATTTATTCGAAAAACCTTCCATTATAGCGTACGTTAAGAAACAATATTTGAAAATATGTACTCTTTGGAGTACACTGGCATTCGAAATGTTCTTCATATTATATCATTAAGGTCGTTGTACTGTGACTGAGGTCACTGCTGCGTCTTGAGCCACTGTTTCATTGTTATTCAATGTATTATTTTGCTTCATAATTACATAAATTACTCTAATTAAGCAGGATTTGAGGTTTTCACAGCAGAGTCCAAAGCCGCAAGACGCTACAACCCAGAAGACGGCTAAGTCTGGTATATATCACCCAATGTTTCAGAGGAGTTTACTGACTCCATCATCAGGGTGATGAGGGTAATTTAATCCTGATGATGGACGCAGTATGTCAAGTGGATTATGTTCAGGAAGGATGACTGGAATAACAGAATAATAACCACAGCTGTTTTATTACCAACAGCCTAAGCCTCGAAAGAAACTGCCATCTTCAGAATTTATTTTACAGACTACTTAAACAAATCTTATTCTTAGTAAAATAAATCTACAGAAAATATATAAAAAAAATGTCATTTCTTCCATCAATTCTTCATGTAACAGATTCTTTCTTCAACAGGTCTGCATCAAACGTGGTTCAACTCGTCCAGGAAAGTTCGACATTTTATCTTTAACAGTTTCACGGCCTCAATAAAGAGGACGTCTGGTGGCAACGCTCCTACTGATTCGATGGTGACTGAAAAAGTAAAATCGGCCGAGTAAAATTGAAGAGAAAGACGTCGGAACATTAAAATAAGAGATTACAAATATTTTATAAACGTCCGTTTCGAAAAATCGTTCTTACAAATAAAATGATTCTTGATTCTGCCCATCTTAACAGCGTCTCTGAGGTCTTCATATCGGTAAACATTTCTGCTGCAAGTGTCGTACCTCGCGTCCAAAACTTTGGCTCTCTTTATACCTGAAATGGCATTCAAATTTTACAGCATGAACACGTATTTCTAAAATTACGTCAGGAAAACACAGTGCCACAGTAAAAAATCAATTATTTCAATCATCAATTTGCGATCCAGTTACGTTAATATTCATATCTCGACACGTTAACATGTCAACTTGAAAAATTGCATTAAAACAAGTAGCAAATGTCCCATTATGAACAAGAAATAATATAACCTGAAAATTTTGAAAGAGAATAAGGCATGCGTAATTAAGAAGGTCAAGCGGTGAGAACGCTGGGCTTTTAATCCTGGGGGTCCCGGGTTCGATTCCTGGTGGTGCCCGAATTTATAACTTGTGTTGGGCAAGGCCGTGGTCTAGGCAACACGGAGTTTTCCTCCGGGGGCTTCCCCGGTTTCTCCGTGGCATCCCAACAATTACTCCATTTACACACAGAAGAAGGCAATGGCAAACCACTTCTGGATCATCTGCCAAGATCATATATGAACAGAGGGAACTTGTTCATAATGTCACCAGGGGTCGGCTCAGACCCGATGGTAAAAAAAAAGAGAGAGAAGAAGGATCATTATTTAAAATAAATAAATAAATATGGGTAGACTGAAATGACAAAGTTCTACAATTTAAATTATATTTAGTTCAAACGTCGAAGGCAAGCCCTATAATACCTTCATATTACAAGAAAGTGATTTATATTACCTTACTAACAAAGCGGTCGTCCTGGAAGTATTCAAGATAAGAGCCTAGTATCGCAACGTTGTTACGTCCTTCTTAACATGCTCTCGGCAAATGGCGCACAATCAGCGTCGTCCGCCCTGCTTCTTTATTCGCACGATTCTTCTAATAAATCTTCTCTCGGTAAGTCGAGGCACTGTATTATCATATCCCCGAAGGAAAGTCCGCTTGGCACTTCGCATTCTACTACATTAACATGTTTCACGAGACAGTCCGCTATTCACCAAATTCTAAAAGCTGCTGTTTCATTCTCTTGCCTGTATCTGATACTGGGAACGACCCGTTCTTCAGTCGTCCGCCCTGCTTCTTTATTCGCACGATTCTTCTAATAAATCTTCTCTCGGTAAGTCGAGGCACTGTATTATCATATCCCCGAAGGAAAGTCCGCTTGGCACTTCGCATTCTACTACATTAACATGTTTCACGAGACAGTCCGCTATTCACCAAATTCTAAAAGCTGCTGTTTCATTCTCTTGCCTGTATCTGATACTGGGAACGACCCGTTCTTCAAGTGCCTGAGCACTGCGGGTCCCAGCTTTTCGTTGGCTTGACCTATAGACATTTTGGTAGGACTCCTCGGACGAGGGATCGGCCCGTCGCAAGGCCTCTACCTGTACACAGGACAGCACAACACAGAAAAACGCGGACAAACATCCATGGCTTGAGTGGGAATCGAACCCACGGTCCCAGCGACCAAGCGGCACAAGGCCCACGCCTCAGACCGTGAAGCCACTGCGGACCCAATTACTCCTCACAAAGTCCATAATCCAAAAACTGCATCAAATGTAAAAGTAAGCCACTCGTTACTTCCTATTAACATTAAACGAATTTTAACAGAAAAATTTAATGCGCCTCAAAATTTATTAAAGCCCTGTTGAAGGATGATAAGATTACGATGAACAATATTATATTCATTGAACAAAACACAAAATTTTACATACCGTTTCTTTATTCAGGAGTCCGATAAAAAAACAAATAATACTTCAATCCACACGGATCATAAATCAAGATTTGTGATTAATCAACAAGTCAGTGTAAGGTCTAAAAAATATACAAAAAAACTGAAGTACACTTACCATACTCAGATTCTTCAATACCGATAACTCCGGGAGAAAAACACTTCTGTAACCTCTCAGCCTCCTCACCCTCCACATCTCGGGTAAGGATTATTTCTGGCAGAAGCCTATAGAATGCAGTAGCTGCAACATTTTACACATTGGGTTAAAACAGAAAAATAGACATGACATAACATAACAAAATACCTTTACTTATTTACCTGGTTCATGTAACTTAAATTGGCACTGTCTCATGTTATCATGTCCTTAGCCTTTGCAAAGAAACCTCTTAACACCGACCACAATTTAACCTTCTGAAGCCGAAACTCATCTGAGTAATTATTTAAGAATTCAGTCCGTACCTCAAAGAAAACACAACACTTCACCATTACAAACATCAACTGGTTAACGCTGTTTACGGTTATACTCGCACAAAACATAAATACAATATGAGGAATTATTGTTTGTTAAAGCAGATTTGACTTCGAAAGATTATTACATGAAAGAATAAATAATAATTACCAACAGGAGAGAATTTTGCATGGTCCTTGCCAATGCCTTTAACAGCATGAAGGTTCAGTTCCAATTCATGTCCTGGTCTCATCTTACTGATCAGAATATCGTCATGTACGGGTCCAACATCTCTCTTCTTGTATATGTCACCCTGACCTCCAATCGGCAACCACTTCATATGTTTCGTGTATACTGCAAAATGTAATATCGCCATAAGATGCTTCGGTACTTGTGGGTTATTGGGACACACATCGCCATAAGATGCTTTGGTACTTGTGGGTTATCGGGACACAAAACGGGGGAGTCAAATATCTGGAGTTGGATTGGCATATAATAATTTGTCATTTATTGAAATAAAGTATAATAACTTTCAAGTATATGTCATTTATCCACACACATTAACTTAACCTAATTTAAGATAACCTAAGCTAACTTAACCTAACCTATTTTTAAAGTGATGTGTAATTATTAATACAGTGTTCATAATATGAACAGGCCAGTAAAAAGTCCACTGAAATTCAGTGCAGGACGATTTCTTTCGTAGCTTCATCTCTCACATTCTATCTTCCCTTTCTTTATCACCTTCTTTATATTCCCTGCTATCACTCTCTCATTTCAGTTCACACATCACATAACAATGGCCATTTAATTTTATTAAAATTACTATAATAATTATATGCTGATTTTAAATATCCATCATCAGAGTCTCATGAAACCAAAGGTCCTCACTACAAATTACTCTCAACATAAAATAATCTGTCATCCTTTGTGATTATTTTTTTTTATCTCAGCCATGTTAAGTGTTATTTGCCAGAACATTTTCCATGATATCTGTGCACATTTCTTCTGTTGAGATAAATCAAGCACTGACTAAAAGCATCAACCTGGATTTTACACAAAATAACAGATGATCAAATCTTGTTGCTTTTACTTGTTCTGTGTTGCATTATGATGCATTAAAGTATGTTTTATAAGATTATGACACAAAGATGAAAGAAAAACTTACTTTTATGATCCTTATATAGATCATCAGGGCTTGTGGAATCCTTTGGTGCATTTGGATTCCAGGTGCATTTTACCTTCAACTGAAATTCCAAAGTGTCTTGTTCTGTTCCATCTGTATCACCTAAAATAATTTTAATATGAATATTATTTAGTTGTCAAATAAGTAAAAAAGTCTGTAGAACTCTTACAAAATGTAGAAAAGAAACAAATTACCTTTTAATTACAGAAACTCAGTAAATATTATTAAACTGGGCTAATTCCAATCTGTGGATTATACCAGAACCAACAGAATAGGTACTTTCGCCTGATGATACAAGCAAAGCCAGCTCCCAAAATGTAAGTTTCATTTTTGGAATACAGAAGGGCAGATTAAGTCTAAAGAAAGCAAAGCTGAATTGCATTATGTATATTCACCTGGTTGTCTATATTCAAATAACCGTGGATCAGCTTTTAGCGGAATAAGACCCAACCTGTGAGCCAACACCTCGTCTTGCAATAGAGATGTGTTGATATAAACAAATACCTTCTCTATGGCCATGCTAGGAACCTAGGGTAGCACAATAAATACATGAGGCAAACAAACAACATGATGGAAATTCACAAATTATATGGCATTACTACCAGACCAACAGTAACATTAGATTTTTCTATAATTAGTATCTGATACAACTGCAAAAAGTAATAAATACATGAAAGCAGTTTACCTCTGAAATAAGAAGTCTTCTAAAAGCATTTGCTATTGCTGCATGTATTCCAATCAAGTCAAATTCCATTTCTGTTTCATTGTACTTAACTATTTTCACCATAAAAACCTGAAAATGAATTTGTTTGTAATTTAAAAGATGATTAACACTATTTTCATGACACTACTAATATCAATAGGCTCATTTGAGAATGGCCATTTTCAGATAGATCACCAACTCACTTTCTTGAACTTTTCATGGCTCCATATATCATCAATGGTATAGCTTCCAGGATAGTCTGATTCTTCTGCCTAAAAAGAACCAGAGAAAAACCTCAAGAACTTTCCAAATGTAGAACATCTATCAAAATTACATTTCTGTGCCGTCTTCTTGATCATGACATCCTGCAATCTTCAGCAGGCAACACGTCATAAGAACACAATCTATTTTCATGAGGTGATGTTCCCTCAAAATTGTGAAAACTTCCTGGAAGACTACAGTCTCATGACCCACACAATAACTATCAATATTTTCACAGCCTGAAAACCTGTTCTCATATAATCACATTTATATAATCACTATTATAACAGAATCTTAAGGTCTATATAATACAATTTCCATATTTTGTGTATACTTATTATAGGTATGCAACTTCCACCACATACAAATCGCAAGCCGATATCTAATTATGAAGTTAATAAATTAAAGAAATGTACCATGTGCTGACAGAATTCTAGTACATACCCCCTTCCAGTACAATTAGGTTATGTTAAATAATTACACTACCATAAAAATTCACAAAAAAAAGTTTCTCAAAATATTATTACATTTAGGACGCCATTTTCTTTTAATATGAGCCGTGAACGTCCTTCTTCTATTACATCCATCCCGAAATTAAAGATTCGTTTTCGTAAGACCTATACACTTCACACATCGCACTCTTCCATCTTGAAACACAAGCTCATTACCACAGGTAACCCAAATCACAAATAATACCAACATTACGTTGTCCACAGATGAGCCAAGAAACCAAAGTCACACAAATGGACCTTCTTATTATTATTTAACCATGTACATGTATTTTCGTAGACAGATGTCTACACATACGTGTAACATAATTTTCTTGGAGTTTGAACAAATTTAATATCAAAATTCAACACAACTGATTGATTACATTAGTCAAATTAATATCAGACCGCATCCAAAAGTCGCTTTTAAAGCGGTAGGAAAATATTATCGTTAACATTCTGTTTCACTGAGACGAAAACGCATTCCTTTGGGGTACGAAGGGGATTAACAACAAAGTACATAAAATTAAAGGTCACTAAATTCAACATTTTTGTTATTACAAAGTAATTGAAATATTATCATATAGCAAATCATTCAAATACATCTAACACAAATGGCCACTGCATTATGTAGTTTCAATACCTGACAATACTAGGTTATATAGTATACATATACATTATTCTTTCTGTTACTCTACTTTCACTATATTTCTCTGTACAATGATGTTCGTCTTAAAACCAACACTGACATCAGTAAGCACCTCAATCTCACTCCACTATTTAAATTCTCTTTCTCCTGACATTATCATATGATTATTTTCAATATCTATTATGCACTAAATTCTAAAACATAAAGTATACCAGAAAACAATAACAATGGATTAAAAAAGCAAATGATTAAAGTGATAAGTACACTCAAATGTAAGATTTCTACCACATTTCATTATGCATGAAAGTTTTCTTGTTATCACATGTATGCTCAACAAAGAATGCAGCAAATTAATTTTTATATTTGGGGCCATCTCGGGAAGGAAAGGAACTGTTTATGTGGCAGGACTGAATATCAAGAGGACTTGTGGAAAAGATACAAAGATGACTGTGTTGCAATACATTCTACTCGCAACATCTTCAAGCAGTACACGAGCACTCATTTTTGTTTCTTCATAACTGAGAGTGCTTTTATTCTCAAATACTATCATCTATCAATTTAACAGAATATTCACACACAAACTTTTACTGGGCTCCATCTTAGAAATTATTGGTTCATACAAACTTTTACATTGTTCTAATATGGAACCCTCATTATCATCACACAATATTATGGAGATGTTTCAAAAAAGTTGTTAATAAGTAGTAAACACTAAAACTGGAATGTCAGAATTAATAAGGGGTAGTTACAAGTCATAACGCTATGTTTGATGGACATGATTCTTCACAGAATATACCAACATTAACAATATCATACACATCTCATAGTGAGAATATTATTTTCTTCAGAATATAAAAATACTATTCTAAGGAGTTCAACATAAGGAGTTGTTTCAAAACTTTCGTTTGACTTGTTTCTCTGATCTCTCCAGCAAGAAACATCTCATCTACAACAGTATAAACCTGTAATAGAATACATCATAATTAATGAAAAATTGCAGAAAATTAATAATCATTGTATCTGGACAGTAAACAATTAAATACTTGCCTTGTAGAAATTGAATACCAAATCAAGTTCACACACATTGTGAAAATATTCATTCAAGACTTCAACAAAATTGTGTATCGCTTCAAGATAACATAAATTATTGTCATTAACATCCACACAGATACAGAAATATAGACCTGCATATCTTCGGTATACAATCTTGAAGTTCCGGAACTGAAAACAGATATAATTACTATGTTACGGACTTAAAATCAAATTGCATATTGACATACATCAACCAGGCAGAAAAATGACAGTGACCACAATCCTTCCTTACATCAAAAGTTCTCACTGAGAAGGCAGCAGGGCTGGCACACAAGAGGAATCACAAACCTTCTTACTGACTTGTGACAAATTTACATCAAAAGTAACTTACTAATAATAAGTTGTGCCAACTGTCCATGATATTCAGTATCATCTGGTGGACTTACTTGGCATTAATGCCAATGGTTCATCAAGCCTGGCCTATATGGTAATTGGGAAAAGTCTAGAAGGACAGTGGGTTACATCTACATTTTACAGTAGTAACATACAATATCATCAAAGCAAAGTTTTTATTACTGTGGCCAATTGCAAAAACTATTGTCACATAACATAGTTAATTAAGAACACATAACATAGTTAATTAAGAACAATGATGCTCAAACACAACTTCTGTATGGTAGCATCTGTCCACAGACCATAACCTGTGTGTGAGATAGAAATACAGTACAGACAGGAGAGAGCCGTGTAACACCGGTTTAAAAGCCTACTCCACCCAATTAAGGTTATTAAATGTTCACCAACTAATAGGTTATGTACAACCAACTAACAAAATTGTGATAAATAAGTTGCTGGTATGAAAGGGAGTAGTGGTAGTGTATTTTGAGGTACTACAATAGTATTTTCTCAAATACAGTAATAAATATAGCGACGAAGCTCTACAGTGATTGTCTGAACCAAAAACCAACTCAACAAGATTACCAACAGTTATATGCTGCATTTGGTCTATTCATTGAAATCAATACACTCAGCTTCATACCTCTACAAAATTTGTATGTTTGGCATCTCTGACAGTCACAACTGCATGCACTTCTTCAATTAGTTTCTGCTTTTCATCATCATCAAAATTCATATACCATTTCGCTAGTCTAGTTTTTCCAGCTCGATTCTGGATAAGGATGAATCGAATCTGTTAACACAAACATTAAAACCAAATTATTCATGACGCTTAATACAACAATTATGAATCAATGTTCAAACACATATAATCTCATAATTTACCATTTCTCACAGATAGCCAAATACGTAAACATACACAACTCCCACCTCCTTTTCGACTCTTGACATCGACCTGACACTGCTCAAACCATACAGCGCTGTCTACAGGCGAAGAAAATATATCGATATTAAACAAACGAAAATCACTATGGACTACATAGTATACAAAAACCCTGTTAATAATTTTATAATTTAATATTTAATTCCACTTAGTGCGTAACAACTGCCGGATTAAATCAGCAAAAATTTACATATTAAATCGATAGTTTAAAATTTTGAAGAGAGATGGTAGGAGAAACAACTTTGCTACTTTCAATTAATGCTGCCATCTTTCGGACACACGTTAAAATATAACAGACAGCTCTTTCCAAGTTTTGTTTTAGGCCTATTTATCTAAAATTTGGGCTCCAATCATAAATCGTGTAGACCTGTCGTACTTTTCTTAACATGTCACTCACATTAAATATTAACGAAACTATTTTCTTCGTCATTTTTCATGGTTGTGATGCATCTTTTTGGAGGGGGGAATGGGGTGGAGATGATAATATTTGAAAACACTATCAATTATATGTATTTATACACGGCTTTCATTAAGAATCTCGTACGCGGAGTTAAATGTTATTCACGTGTCAGAAGGATGGAGTATACAATGATAAGAAGTGTCAAGGACGAGATAAAGTATTCTCGAACATACATTTGCGGCAGAAAGACACGATTTCGTATGCAGTGTCCATAAACGAAAATACTGTATTAATTCGACCGCAGAAAGAATAATATGGCAGTATGATATGGTGAGGTGTTTTGCTTAACGTATTTGCTGTAGGAATGCTATACAAATATGTTCTTACAGTTCACTTACCACGTTCATCAGCAGCCATGTCTCATCGCTACCGGCAAGGACTGGGAAGGAAGGTATCATAATCATAATAACATACGAAATAATTTTGTGTAGCCCTTGGCTTTTATCGGAGATGACCTGTTCGAATCTAAGCTGGGTTATACATAATATTTTTCGAGTTTCTCCTCAGTTTTTCCCTGTAAAGTGATAGCATGGGGTTTAACACAGTCCACCACGGCCGTCTTCCAAATCCTTTCCTCAAATATCATTCGACACTAGCCGAAAGGCTAGTCTACTTGTAAGAATTCACATTCCGACAGCGATGATTTAAAGTTGGCTGTCTTCTGGAATATTTCGCCATATAGCGTGGTAAGTACTGACCGACGTTTCAGAGACACATTGCTGGTGGAGACAGTATGTATCTCTAAAAAATTATGGACTGAAAAGTAAATATTTATGTAAAATATACGCTGCAAAGTAAGAATCATGCTTCTGTTATATTGGACCAACCAATTGAATGGTGACAATTTTGTGTTGTAGAATTTAATGACTTAATAGAGCCACGGTGGTCTAGAGGTTAGAACGCTGGCCTTGTAATCCTGGGGTCTCGGGTTCGATTCCCGGCGGTGCCCGAATTTATAACTTGTGTTGGGCAAGGCCATGGTCTAGGCAACACGGAGTTTTCCTCCGTGGCATCCCAATAATTACTCCATTCACACACAGAAGAAGGCAATGGCAAACCACTTCTGGATCATCTGCCAAGAACGTATATGAACAGGTCCCAGTCCGAGAAAAGGATGGAAGGATCCTGTTCATATGGACCTGTCGTCAGACAGAACACTAAATAAATAAATTCTTAATAAAATTAAGAAGGCACAGGCTGGCAAACAAAGACTGTGTTGAGTCTGAGTTTCGATCCACTTGCCTGTACCATAACAAGCCAATGGAATTTAACAGTTCGCTTTTCGACTAGGGGTTTGGACGGGGAAAGCACACACGACACAGCGAACTTGAACTACTCGGGTCAAGGTACCTTCGCGTTAGCTACGCCTAACTTCAACTAAGCTAAGCTGATCCTTATTCTTCCAGCGATCGTGCGTCGCCTCCGATGTCTGTTTTGGGGTTATCACAGACTGATATAATGCTTCGACTCGGTCTAATGAGATTACAGCATCCATTGGCCTTCAAGCGGAGAAATAACATCGACCATGCACCTAATAAACAACGGCAGAGCTGAAAAGTGCAACAATCTCATTCGATCTATACTTTTGTATTAATCCGCCTAGACATTCTAATGGGCAGTGATTCCACAGATAAATAAATAACAGTTCGTTGACAGTCAATTGTTTCGAAAAATCAAGGATGAAAATTTACCTCTTTTCTGACGTTTCATTTGTTCATAGGTGGCTGATTGTTCAGAGAACAACGTAGTTTCAAACAGCACAGATTATTCAACACATGCAATAACTTGTGTAGACCTGCAACGAGATGAACACTGTCTATTCTAAAATACTCACTGTATCTTAATTTTAAGATAACGATGCCATACAAGAGGTTGCATAGCCACGGTGGTCTAGCGGTTAGAACGCTGGCCTTGTAATCCTGGGGGTCTCGGGTTCGATTCCCGGCGGTGCCTGAATTTATAACTTGTGTTGGGCAAGGCCGTGGTCTAGGCAACACGGAGTTTTCCTCCGGGGGCTTCCTCGGTTTCTCCGTGGCAACAATTACTCCATTCACACACAGAAGAAGGCAATGGCAAACCACTTCTGGATCATCTGCCAAGAACGTATATGAACAGGTCCCAGTCCGAGAAAAGGATGGAAGGATCCTGTTCATATGGACCTGTCGTCAGACAGAACACTAAATAAATGAATAAAAAAATACAAGAGGTTAGTTAACTGGCTTTAAGGCTTATTAAGGTGTTAACAAGAGACTGGACATGGTCTTTAGTAAGATAAATCCTATCCTCATACGATGTTTACTTAATATCCATGTTAATGTCAACCTCACATCTATGTTTAGGTCTCCAAAGTGGTCTCTTTCCTTCAGATTTTTGATCAAAATAGGTAATTGTCTCTTACAAGACGTTAACACTACAGTCAGTAAACAGAGTTTATTAAATCAGCCTCTCAAGAAACACAATTCTCCCTCGATATTTAGTCCAACTCAAACAGAAAATTTCATATCGTCAAAAGTGATTACTAAGGCCACCGGAAGGCGTAGCAGTAACGCACATGTTGTACAATTCAGCATCGTTTTAAGTCGCCGACAAAAGATTACCGTCCTGCAAATTTCATAACGAGGGTTTCTGGCCTTCAGCAGCTCGGAATACGTAGTTTGAAACCACAGGCTATAAAACGAATCCTAGCGCATACAGGCGGGGGGGAAAAGAAGTTTTCACACCTCTAAAAACGTCTGTGAAACGAACATACGACATGTTCGAGAGAATACATCGCTGATTCAGTATACGGATAACTGATATGATGATAGGCCTAAGAAACTATGCCATATGAAGCGAAATATGTAACGACTGAAGAAACAGTGATAGTGGAACCACGGTTCCGGAGAATTTGACGTAAATACGTCTATACGGAAAGGAAGTTTATATATTGGCTTTATTCTAAATATTTCCTTTATACATGCTTTACAATTGAGATAAGTTTGATTAAGACATTCCCGGCGGTGCCCGAATTTATAACTTGTGGTGGGCAAGGCCGTGGTCTAGGCAGCCCGGAGTTTTCCTCCGTGGCATCCCAACAATTCCTCCATTCACACACAGAAGAAGGCAGTGGCAAACCACTTCTGGATCATCTGCCAAGAACGTATATGAACAGGTCCCAGTCCGAGAAAAGGATGGAAGGATCCTGTTCATATGGACCTGTCGTCAGACAGAACACTAATAATAATAAAAAAATAATTTTTCGTAACACATTTTTGCCGAATGACACTGACCCTAAAATATAGACGTATTTACGTCAAAACTAGTTGGTCTACGGATCGATATTTGAACTCGAGGACTCCCGAATACGAAGCAACAATTCCAATCACTCGGTCGAGACGTTACTTTGAGCCAATATGTCGGTTAGCAACCTCAATTAATGAAGGTTACAGAATTAAGTTTGATGACGACACAATCTTTAAGGTTTCTTTTTCTCACGTGAAAATCATTTTGAGGGGAAAAGTTAGGAGGGTCTTAGGTATTAGGAACTGCTGGGGACTTATATCGTGTTCACGCCAAGACCAAACGCAAAGGAGCTCGCTGCTGTCGAGTCCTGTCTGCGCCCCCTTCTTCTAGAGGGTCACCACATTGCAGGGGTAATTGGAAAACAGTTTTTGTGGTGTTCCAGTTTCAAAGTGTGATGCCGACTGTTTGCTGCAAGTTAATTAGGTTTAGCCGCCGAATGTCGGCGACAACACTTCGGACTATTATATTATATCTCTCTTTTCAACTTCCCGCCTATGGTCTGCCATGTTTCTTTCTTTCTTCAAGGCTTGAAGTCCTTTCTCCACGTGTAACAGCTTCTTCAAAGCGTTGCTAATTCTCGTTATCGCATCGGGGCCAAACGTTTACTCCACGGAGCGAATTCATTATGTAGAAGCTGATAGTAGCTCAGATAGTCACAGAATTACTCTATTTTATAGAACGTCGTGTTTGGATTCCGTGTGTAAACGATATCCATCTGTCCCAAAGCACATAGTTTACCGATAAGTCTACATTTTGTTTTTTTGGTATTAATAGAATTCTTCTGTTACTTACGATGATTGGACCTAGTCAAAAATTCATTTGTTTTGATAAAAATTGTATGTAAATTAAGGGGCGTTGTATATAATACTGGTATGACGTCACTAAACATAGACTCCGCCTTCTGTTTTGGGGTAGCCTCAAACACAGCGAGTCATTGAGAATGCCAAGTTGAGGGAAGCCGCCAGAAGAGAAGTCATGAATCACATCTGACAGATTCTGTGCTTTAATACAGGAAGTTCCTGTTGAAACAAACCGCTCAGATAAAAAAACAACGCAGTGATTCCAGTTGACAGACAAAACGGTAACACGGGCCAGCATATGTACAAGGCTGTAAGTGTATTCACATAAAGAAACGTCTTTCATCTTGCGTTAATACTTAAAAGAGTTCTGCAAAAAAAAAAAATATGAAAATGCAAGGGAAAGATGTACTAAGCGGTATTGCTTTTGAAGTTCGCAGACGCGAGATTTACACGTGCTGGCGAACTAACTTCAAAAACATCATCATCACACTTCACGATCAGATGGAAAGAAAACTTTGTACCCCACAAAGTCTCTGATTGCAACCCCCTGGCCCTTTAAAAGCACAACAGAAAGTTTTGTACAAGAATTGTGCAGCATACAAGCCGTTCAGTTTCAATTACTTTATATAACAAAATAAAAAATGACTTGTAAAACAAAATACAAACACATTTATTTGTGAAAAATATCATGCCAAAATATCTTAAACTCATATAAAATCTAAAACTTCTTGACGATGGTGAAGAGTCAATTGAATAAATATTTTCTTGGATATTATCCATCGTCTAGTAAATATAAAACGTAAAACGACGTTTCGGAGATGGATTCCGGGACTTTCACTTTTTTATTTTGTCCGGAGATAGGGATTAGCTCTATCTAGTGGGCTCAACTGTGTAGGAACCTGAAGACGGAGATAGAGTCCCATCTCCGAAACGTCGTTTTACGTTTTATATTTACTAGACGATGGATAATATCCAAGTAAATTTTTATTCAATTATCTTAAACTCAGACGAAATGTCTGTGCGAATAACAGAAAGCTAGTGTACAGCTGTGAAATCAGTATTCAGAGCAGCAATGGAATAAGACCTTAAATGCAGATGATCTGCAGCGATGGACTTAAAGCAATTTAGCAAAGAATCTGAGAGGTCTACAGAGACCTATCAAACAAACGAAGATGTCTGAAACCTGCCAAAATAACTTCGGGCCTTGTCACAACGACGCAGAATCCTTAAAACAGGGCAGTCGCTCAGTTATCAAAAAAATTTCCCCAACACACCCAGGAACATAGGTTCAATACTACGTTGGCAACAGCGAGCCACTAGATTCTATCCTCAGATAAATGAACCCAGTCCACAATCTCTCACACCAATTCCCAACATCCATTTTAATATTATCACCCCATCTATGCCTACGTCCTCCGAGTGGTCCCTTCCCAACAGTTTACAACTAAAATTTGTACGAATTTCAATCTCCATCACGCGTGCTACATGCACTCTCAATGCAATCTTTATAACCTCAGCTTGCTCTGTTAAAAGGCAAATGTTTTACTTACTAGCAAAATTAATTACGAAGTGGGCGGAGATATTAAGCTTACCTGGATGGAATGATCCATCACCACAAAGGCACAAGGTTATCATCGGGTAATTAACGATAATCCACAACATCTATCTCATTATCATGTCTCAAGATGACCCCCTGCAGTGTGGTAGAAATTTATCGACGTTTCAGAGGTGATTGCTGCCTCCATTATCGCTTTATGAAATATGAAACGTCGGTAACCAACAAGATTATGAAAAAGTTAAAATCTTGAATTTTCCCCAATTCAATTTAAATATTCAAACAAACAGACAACAATTAGGTGAATATCAAATGTTTAAGACGAATAATAATTCCTCGTATCCGTTCTAGACCCATAAGCGAACATGCAAATCCACAATTTAAACTTTACAAAGAAGTTTATAAAGGATATTTAGCCGATCTTCGGCTTTAAAGAATTAAAGAGACCCTGCGTAATTAATACACGTTGCTTAGATCTCATGACTTGAACGTTTTGATCTATAGCAGTGGTATTCAACTTGGGGTACGCGTACCCCCGGGGGTACGCGAAGACATCTTAGGGGTACGTGAAATTTAAAAAAAATATTATTTTATGATAAAAAATGAATAATCAGTAATGTAATTTATTTAATTTATTTTAAATGTAGATTATATAATATGTATAACTTGAATTATACACCAACAACTTTGGGGGTACAAAGTTGAAGAGAAATTATATCTGGGGGTACGCGAAGACATCTTAGGGGGTACGTGAAATTTAAAAAAAATATATATTATTTTATGATAAACACTGAATAATCAGTAATGTAATTTATTTAATTTATTTTAGATGTAGATTATACACTATGTATAACTTGCTATAGTGTACAAGATAATATGAATTAGTCCTAAGGTCTAAAACCTCATGTGCGAGGTCATTCGAAATAGTTTTAACGCTGCTCGTTGGTTATTTCTAGGTCTTGTTCACATGAAATATTTTGAATCACATGGGGGGGGGGGACTGCACACAAATTGGCACTTCCTAATGACCTTTGCCCTTTGCCCAAGTGTTTCTTCGTAATGCATTCTGGGTAACGTGTCAAGTTTCTGTATTCGTGCAAGCATGTGCAGGTCGCTTTCAAAATTGCTGTCCTAAGCATTGCGACGCAGAATCGTTTGCTTTGGAAAGGAAAACCACGTCCAGAGCTCTTGATAAAAAGAAAAGCATGTTACGAGAAGGAAGTGAAACTTTGGCTAAAATGCACGCACGTTTAAAGGAGTGTTTTTAGCTGTAGGAGCAGAGATCACTAAAAACAATTAGAATGTTGTTGGGTAGCTAATGACCTAATTTTATTATTTATTTATTTATTTAGTGTTCTGTCTGACGACAGGTCCATATGAACAGGATCCTTCCATCCTTTTCTCGGACTGGGGCCTGTTCATATACGTTCTTGGCAGATGATCCAGAAGTGGTTTGCCATTGCCTTCTTCTGTGTGTGAATGGAGTAATTGTTGGGATGCCACGGAGGAAAACTCCGTGTTGCCTAGACCACGGCCTTGCCCAACACAAGTTAGAAATTCGGGCACCGCCGGGAATCGAACCCGAGCTAATTATGACATGTAAAAATTAAAGCAAATAAAACAAACTACTAACACAAAAATTAACAGAAAAGGTATTTCATGAATATATTGAAAATTAATTAGTCGTTATTTTTTGTGCGAAATACATTTTAAGTCACTTTTATAGGTTGGGAGAAGCTTCGATCAGTTTTATTCGCAACAAGGGAGCCTTGTATGTAGTTTACAAGTTAAGAATTATCTTACTGTGATAATAGATGAACGTGATAATAATATATTCATTCCTCCATTTTGGTAAACCAGAGAAATACCAGTCACACAACCAACAGAGCTTAGTTCTGTCACAGTAATCATATTTTTTATCTAATTATAAATCTCAAATTAAATAAATAAAATATCATATGTATAATAACCTTTTATTTACATATTTAGAAAAGTAATATTAAGAAATGAAACAAAGAAAAACAAGTTATAACAATTTCTCACGTTTCATGTTTCACTGACACAGTTAACTCCTTGACGTAAACCACACACGTAAGCACAAATTCAGCTCAACACACTCGCTCACACATACACACTTTGTACACATAATTCTTCTGCGTTCGCTTAGAAAATATTTGAGGCTGTTCCGGTTAGCAATTTCAAATTATTTTCCGCTATCATTCACATAAATTACTACGTGAAAGTCGATACAGACATTATGTTCAGCTAGAGAATAAATTATTATGACTGAAACTCCAGTTTCAGAGTTTGGCTATTACTAACTCTGCGCTAAATTATATACTTTAAAATACGCCCAATAGTAAAGTAATTTAACTGAAGAGACTTAATAAGTGAAAGTAACAGCTTCCGTTAATTACTATAGAGTAATTATAAGAAAATATTACCCAGGATTTTATTCATTGTGAATTAAACCTCAGACAAGTAAAACATTTTCACCTGAGTAACAGACAGCAATCAGTTTGGAATATCTCACGACGTGCAAAATCCATAAACCTATTTTAACCATTCTAACAATCGTACGTGTCCGAATTAAAAAAAAGCATCTACAGATTATAAAAAAAAAAATATATTTTCGAGTCTTTAAATTGTGTAATCTCCATGCCATGTTCAATGACGAAATTATTAAATCCTAGAGATACATATTGGCCAACACAAACCATTTTAAAAAGCAACATCAACTCACTATGCCTTAACAAATGAACCGCATTAATATTTTATTGGTTCAATTAACAGCGGGATACTTCACTCGAATGTCCTCGTCGACATAGGAATAATATTTAGAGCACAAACAATCAATCCACAGTTTAATTTAGGTTTGACGTGCATCAAAACATTTGGTAGCGGGGAAACATGGGTATTTTTCTCATTCCCTTATATAGGTCTGGTGCCTCCAACATCAAGATTCATCACCCTGATAACAAAATCAGTAAGATCGTCTGAAACGTCGGTCAATATCGATCAGTCTAGACGGTTCAACATCTTAAAAGACAGCAAACTTCATAATAGACGGCGTGAAAAGCTAAAAACAATTCTTGTCCTCAACTATTAATACTAACTACGATGTAAAACGCACAGTGAAAATTAACTTAGGTCTATTCAACACGCAGGAGGACATTTGCCTTTTCAATGATCGTATTAATGACGTATTAAGTCACAAGACTCAAGTGACATTTCACCTCGATCTATAGAAAATATGCCATAGAAACTTCGGTCAAGTTCCTCGTTTTAATTGTAATTCGTATTCGCCGATGTTCTTTTTAACGTGTAAAGTGCCCGGAAACTATTCTAGAATTCCAAATGGAGATCGGATAATCGAGAAAAGTCAGACTCTTGATATGTAGCATTTAAGGCATGAAGAAATAATGACATGAATTCTTTTAGAGCTCCAGATCTGTATGGGATCCCACACATAATATTTAAGATGCGAGTAGGGTATAATGATGACAAATCCCACGAGCTGGACCCGCAAAACAGCGATGTAGGCTACCCTGCAGATTATCATAAGCCCATACGTAACTGTTTTAAAGTCTACCTACATCATATTTATATCATTTTTATTTGGAATCAGAAATTATTATAGATTATCTTTAATGTCCGACTTAATAGAGTTTTGATCATTCACATAAACAACAGCGTATGGGCATAATACAATTCTGGGGCTTAATTCCCCACAAGCACTAATTTCTTTTAATTAAATTCGAAGCTTGATAAATTTGCTGGTCAGTGATGAAGCTGGTTGTTTTAGGTAGTAATTTTAAACGAAATTTATCCTTATTTTCAATTTGGACGGGATCCGAACAACTTTTAAAAAATATGTAATCTGTTATTTTAACAGATTGCCTAAGAAAAGAGGGGGTAACACGTGTAGACTTACGTAAGGAAAAAAAATTCATGCTTCAGAATTTGTGGCTGTCTTGGTGGTGACGTCATCATGGAAGACTGAACGCTAGACCCAAATGCGCGTTTGGGGTTCCTCCGGGTGGGATTCCCCACCCAGTCAATTCCACGCGCGTCAGCTCCTCATTGCCTGTTATTATTTTGCAGTTTCAACTAAATTTTGAACGTGTCAACACATTTCAGTAGAACTGTTTAATACCAAATTTCATCAAAATCCATTCAGCCAGTCTCGATTTTTTTTTTTTTTTTGCGGATAGACGGTATGATGAAGAAGCTAATAGGCGCATTTTCGTAAATCTCATTACTTCAATTTGTTATTGGGTGTGTTAGAAAAGCACCTGTTAGATGAACATTATCAAAGACCAACTTCTAACACCTAATTTTTTACATAAATGACTCCGCTTTGTGAAAATAATATTTAAAACATAAATATAATCGGCCTATTTTATATCAAAACACACGTAGAACATTGCCTATATATAGGCCTATAAGCAACGAGTACAAACAAAAATTATTATAACCTGAATATTATTTAAAATGCATCGAAACATACAACTAATTAAACAGTCAATTAACTTCCAAAGCGACGTTCTGCCCTTGCGAACAAATACCACTGATCCACCGGCTATAAAGTCGTGGCCTGACTGGACAAGCTATGATGGCCGTTCATAACTGCGAGAGCCGCCGAATTGTGGACGTTTCCATTCGCGTTGCAGCCCTGCAGGTACATGTGATAATAATTGTAGTTCTGAGCAGCAGCTGCGGCCGATGGATCGGACGCTGAGTTTACTCCGGAGTGCTGGACCGTGGTTCGAAACCCGGCAAAAAAAACGTGGTGATGAGCGTTCGCTAGAATGTCCGACACGGAATGGGAACTCGGCCAGCATTGGGCGGGAGGTCCTCTGGGGGGTGCCATACAGTGCGACCCTGGAGGCGACGGGGATGAACAGACCCCTGGCAGCTTGTTAGCCACCCCTTGGTGGGTCACGGCTCCTGCCGCCGTCGGATAAGGGTATGTCGGGTAGATTGAGTTGTACAGGTGAGGATGGTGTACTGCACCAGAGTGATGATGAAGCAGGGTACCGATCTTATTCCTCAGAATTCGACTAATGGAGCTTACAGAAGGAACGTTGTATTTGTCACAAACACCGTCTGACAAAAGTCTATCCCGGATCTCCCAGGCGAAAATACCAGGGTCCTTCTGCTTAAGTTCCTTGATGTATCCCACTACCTTCGGCGTCGTAACCCGAGGTTTGCTCCCTCCGATGGCTCCGGGTAAAATTGACCCTGTCTCGTGATATCGGGCCAGGATTTTGGAAACGCATCCGTGCGAAACCCGGAGTTGTCTCGATATGTCACAAGGTCTGATCCCAAGTTGAGCCAATTCTACGATGCGTAGGCGAACGGCGTTCGGTAGAGGACGCCCGTTCACAAACACTCCTCCCAGCTGGTTCACCTCTCCATACTGCTGGCATTGTGAATCTGCAAAAACGACAAGTTGTTTTTGAGACGCGAGGTTCTGAAAGGTGGTGAAGATGTTCGTGGCGGTCTTGTGCATTTGTAAGTGTTTACCAAAGTTTCGGGGAGAGAGAGACATTTTCTCTATCTTCTGCATGTTTACACGGTGTCACAACCCAGAAGGGAACCATGGATTGCAGAGTGTTTGTCACTGAAAATGAGACAGTATTTCCTAAATGTCTATCTTCATTTTAGAGCTGTGTTTGAAAGAAGACTTCGAAAAGACAGCTAACTAACTAAATTTGGTCCATATTGGCGTACAGCATTTCACTGGCTGGGAGACTGGTAACAACGTCATCCACACTGGTTCCATGTGGGTGTCAGTCCCAAATATGGGGGTTTCATATGATATTTCATTAAAGGTGACACTTCAGAGTCCAGTGGCGGACTGGTTGTGTCCATAAAAGGCGGAAAATTTATCGACTACCTAATAGACTATCAGTCTCAAGAACGACTTATTTCTAAATCTAAAAAAAAATGTAAAACAGAGAGACATTTTAAAAAATAGATCATAGATTTGTGAGGAACATTAAATCTGCATTATTCATTAAATAAACTTGTCGCCAGTCTGATCAAACGAAGGATTATGAGATGGGTGGAACTTATAGCACGCATCGGGACGATAAAAATGCAGGTACATTTTTTGGTCGGAAAAAAATTATAGAGACCACTTCAGAATCCTAGGCATAAATGGGACAATATAAACTGTATTAAGATGAATCTAATATAAACAGGATATAAAAATGCAGAGGAGATGCATCTGAAACTTGTATGTTGCATGTAGCCGTATTAAATGTTGTTAACATCTGTTACTACCAAAACGCCAATTGAAATACATCGTTTAAATATGATTTTAACTTACCTATGTTAACTGCTCAACAGATATATTTAAATTAAACCTCGAAGTGTATGGAAAAGTGTTTTTTTACTAATTTTAATTTATACTCCCCAGCCATAGCTGCCAAAACGAAATTTAAACACAATTTTCACACAGCCACAACGTTATTTTAAGTTTTACAAAATACTGCCTTAAAAATCTGACAATTTTTCAATTATTTTTACTGTTCTTAATTTTAGGATTCGCCATGTTCTTGTTACCGATTATTATTATTATTTATTTAGTGTTCTGTCTGACGACAGGTCCATATGAACAGGATCCTTCCATCCTTTTCTCGGACTGGGACCTGTTCATATACGTTCTTGGCAGATGATCCAGAAGTGGTTTGCCATTGCCTTCGTCCCCCGGTGGAAAAATGTTTCACGAAAGTCGGTCGACTGGTTTAGTCGTTCATAGCAGTGACAAGGCAGGTTACCTCATAATCTTTAAGGAAGAAATGTCAAGAGTTAATATACAGAGTTACCTCATAATCCTTACGGAAGAAATGTCAAGAGTTAATATACAGAACACTTTTGGGCCTACCAATCATCGTGAGTCGAGATACCGAAGACAAAATCTCGTGTTGGATACGGAAACCTTCAGTCGACCCCGGAGTATCCTGGGTGTAAGCAGACATGTTCAGGAAGAGGAATGGGGTCCTTGGACATACCATCACTTTCCAACGATCAGAAATGGAGGCGGATGTCTGAGGACCGCTGTGACGCCCAAAGGAAACTGGCGCAATCCGACACGAAGGAAGGTCCGGTCAGATGCGGTTTAATCCTAACCACTTGCAGTCCCTTAATGGGGCAGTGTCCCGACTAAACGACTTGACTCAACGCGATTTCTTCCAAACTGTAAAGCACATACTCACGAATCTCGCTTAGAGGACAAGCTAATTTGTAGGTAAGCGGATATCAGATTGTTCCATTCAGAAAAATAAAACTAAGAGACTAATTCCGTGTATCAAATTCATTTTTGAGAATCTAACAGTCGTTTATCAAGTCAAAGATCTACCATCTTTCATGAAAGTTGGGTTTTGTTATTGTATACAAAAGAACTCGCCAGTGGTCTCTATCCTGTGCCAGATTAATCCACAAGCATCATCTTGGTATGAAAGACTAAATGTAAGAAACAATTCAGAAGAGGTTATAGTAGATGGAAGTATAATATTAAAATGTATCTTAGGGAAATAAGATATAAGAGTGTGAAGTGAAATAATTTTGCTCAGATGAAAGACGAAAGTCGAGCTCTTGTGAAAACGATAGGCCAAAAGTTCTACAAGTCTCATAAAAGGAAAGGGAATTTCTGAACAGCTAAACGACCATCACTTTCTCAAAAACAACTTTACTCAAAATATTTAATTAGACTGTCTATAGAGGTAGTTCGGAAACCAAGTAACATCGGCATTTCTCAGTGTGTTAATGGCATCTGGATCGATCTCAAGACATTAAGCGAAGGTTATTTCTTATCTCTGGCCTATCAGTGTCTCAGACTACAACATAATGATATTTCAGGTTCTCACGGCGACTTCCATAATGAGGGAGATCACGCAGTAAGCACCTCTGAAACGTCGGCCAATTTCTATGAGAACAGACGGTGCAAGATCCCAGAAGAACTTCATTCTGAGTAAATCCGGTGTTCCGTAAAGCTAATTAGTATTCTTGAAATGGCAAACATTTTTTTTTTCAGTTTATAACCACCAACTACTTCCAAGTTCATCTTTTATGCAAAATTAAACTTCAATAGAAAAGAAATTTCGATTTATTTCAATTTACCGCTATAAGTGAAACTACAAAGCAGACACTGGGACTTAGTTCTGGAATACTTGTTAAAAAAAAGCCTACGTGTTCGCACAGTCCTGGAACTATCAGCTGATCGGGCATTCAAAATAAAAACCATTCCATGTGGTAAAGCGGTTATAACTTGGTGCCCAAAAATTCTTTGCTGTGGGTGCAGGGTACCAACCAACACGGAATCCGGCGGTGAATGTTTGAGTAACATGATCCGGCTATTTAAATCCCTGTGGGGACGGAGGTAACCAGAAAATCTTCTCTTCCCTTTACCCTGTTTCTACGAGACTCCCGCCTCGCTGAAAACACTTATATTTTTATAGTGAAGGTTTTACGGTCTTAGCAGTCAAGGAAGTGGAAATTACTGCTAGCTTTATGGTGCTGTTGCTGGTAGTGGCTGCTGCTGTCTCTAAATCTACTTCTTTAACGTATCAATTGTCCTAAAATTTCTTTTCTTTCATTGTCCGGGTGTCCAAGTGAAAAAGTTGTCAGTGGAACCACGGTTCCGGAGAATTTGACGTAAATACGTCTATACGGAAAGGAAGTTTATATATTGGCTTTATTCTAAATATTTCCTTTATACATGCT